AAGTTTAAACGAAGGAGATAAATCATAGCTGGTTTGGTCAGCATTTGATTTTTTTAACTGAATTGAAGCCTTAAAAATTAGATCTGACTTTTCTCTCGGATGAAAGACGGTGATGTATTTTTCTCTTCCCTAAATATTTACTATTAGATTTGTTGACAATTTAGAAGAAAACAAACGTGGATATTTTTAATGGGATGTTGATACTAGTGAGACATTAAATAAAACTTTTAGTGCAATTCTGAGGTGGAAATTCAAAGTAAATATTCAATGAAATCTAAAATGCTGCTTAAACCTCCCTTGTTTTATTTTTGTAAAAACAGATCCATGACTTCTGGCGTGTGGATCAGCCGTGCTACAGAGGCAAACCTTGGTGTGTCTTAACATTTCCTGACTTAAAGGGACTTTACAGAGTTTTGAATTTTTATGCTCACGATTGCCCCCACAGGCCAAAAGCGTAACGGCAGCTTCAATAGTAGGCTCGTGCACGAGGCGCGCATGCTGTACGTGCACACTCCTTAACGAAAATAACAGCTGAGACTGTGTGTGTGTGTGTGTGTGTGTGTGTGTGTGTGTGTGTGTGTGTGTGTGTGTGTGTGTGTGTGTGTGTGTGTGTGTGTGTGTGAGACCTGGAGGACAGAGGACAGGAGAACGCGCAGCTAATTAATTAAATAATGTGGTTCTGTACCTTTCTCTTCAGCACAGCCGACAAAGGTTTATGATGGGTCAGTCCTGCATGCTCAGATCATTCCCTTCCCTTCCTTGAAAAATTGTTCCAAAATGAAAGTTGAACCCACATCTTTTTTATCTGTGAATTTAATGCCGTTCGGCGAGTCTCAAATAAAAATTTGGGCATCTTACTGTAAAAAAATATATAATTAAAGTAAAAAATTAACTCTAAATAAACTATGTTCACACCCAGAACCAAACCCGGGTCTTCTGCACGAGAGTCCAACGTCTTACTAGGTGAGCTAAAGCGCCAGTGATGTCCTTTGCATCTGTAACATTTATATCCTTGATGACAGCTGAAACAACGTTCAAAGAACGGTTCGGAGCGAAAATGGCTATTTTGTTGCTAATTTGCAGGAAATATCTAGAAGAAAGATGCTAAGGGTCCTCAGAAATGTAGCTAGGTTCATCACTAGTCGTTAGGAACAGCGACAAAGTCGCTGAGTTGGCACTACCTCACTCTCTGCTGCTAAAGCTACGGATAGCAAATGCTACGGGCGATGCCTGAGCGTGAACGCGCATGAAGCAGCCTGCTCGACCCGAGCAGCTCTCTTTTTCTGTGATTTTACAGAAAAACAGACAATCACAGTAAACATGCCAGGACTCATTCTACAGGACCAGGGCATTGCAGGAGAATGTATGAAGAAGACATTTATTATTTCTATACATGTTTTGGCTGTCAAACTTCCATAATGTCCCTTTAAGATTGGAAGATGAAGCGCTTCAACCTTACCACCATGCCTCTTGTGAACACAAGTCATTATGTGTACAATTTATTTTTGGTTTTAGGTGCCTGCCCCAATTTGACTGTAGCATTTGTATTAACAGGTTACAAAGCTAATTAAAAGTAGTTTGATAAGCTATCATCTTATCTTTATTATTAGATGGCACATAGCTGACCACACTTCGGACTAGAAGCTAATGATGGTATATTAGAGCAAGCTAAACTTTTAAGAATGACATGAGTCGACTACTAAAATAGCCATTTGTGGCAGCCCTAAATAAAGGCTTTCAAACTCAAACTTAAATGAGCAGCAGCCTAACAGTCAGAGGCATCTGACCTGATGATAAGACCAATTTTAAAAGCACATTTCTGTTTTTCCACAATCACAAACATTAAACTACTTATAGGTATATTTATGGTTATGTGGCCGTTGGTCTGAATCACTTTACTCTAGCAGGTAACAATCCTGCAAGATTAAAAAAAAAAAGCTATTTTATAAAAAAAAATACCAGGAAATACCAGAAAATCTACTTTAAAACAGTCAAACACGACGACACGCTATATTTGCCACTTAATCAATCTAGATGCGCAGATGACACGCTCTACTACGCATGACTGGGCGTCTTGGCAGGTACAGCAGACGTCTGTGTCAGCTGCTGCAGCTGCCGCCGGGCGTCAGGTGAGTGTTGACTCAACCAGCCTGTGACAACACACCTGACCCTCCCACCTGGGACCAACAGAGCAAGCAGGTCCCACAGGTAGACACACCTGAAAGCCGGCCAAACAGGAGGCCAAATGGCAGCTTTTACAATGCGTTACTCTCGTTACACGCCTTCTTACTGGCAGGAAACGACATTTACCTTTAACAATCACCACCATAGATTCTAGAGCAAGTAAAACAGTAAAATCCATGAAAGGTCAATACAAACACAAAGCTGCTAAGCAACGTGGGAACAAAGCGAGCTGCTGAACTAAAACACACCTAGCATCTTATTGCAAAACCGTATCTAGCAGAAAAAGGGGTTGAGCTATAAATACACTCAAGTGACTTTGGAAGCAGTACAAATATATTAAAAGCAGCATTAGGTCACTTTAATCAGAGGGTAAGAGATATCACAGGCTTGTGGCCTAAAGAACACACTCACGCAGGAATTTAAAACTTAAACCACAAAACGAGTTCACACAGGAAAATTATCAGTGAAACTAAAACAACAGACTCATAATAATAAAATGTAAAGGAAAAAATCTAAATGAATCAAAAATAATTCAAGATGGATCTGGATTAATTAAAATGATAAAACATTAAAACGGAGCTAAAAGTAGCATGAGTAGAGTCTGAGGCCATGTACGTAGCTAGGTATCCCTGGCCTGTCGCCGGCATGAAAGTGAAGATCAACGCCACCAAAAACGATCCTTTCAGAAACCCCGGCCAAAGTGAAGATCTACAAATTCTTCGTTGTCAGCACTTTAGGTTTCACGTCAACACATGCGACAAAAACGCCCCAACATCACATGTTTACAGAAACACAAATGTCTTCAGAGCTGTGTTGCTTTATTGATTGTCCAAACACCTTTCGCATTTAAGAGCACCTCAATATCGGTCCACACGAAGGTGCCTGAAGCTGCTATTGGAGCCTTAGAGGTCCGAGCAGGAAAACCAGAGTGCATGACTATTTTTTTCCCTCCGGAAAATTTCCCCATTTGGAAGCTGACCCATATAGAAGAACATCACTGAAAGCTGCATGTGGTGTTAGAACTGTCTATTTGAGTTGTGTCCGACACTGCCGGTGTGTTTTGCTCTCATTCTACCACGTTTTGTCTCATTTACAAAGATAAAAATGAATAAAATTATAGATTCAAACAGGTGGGAGTGAGTGCATCAGTGCGACTAGATAGATCTATAATTTCTGTAGTATCTCGGGCGCTCTTCAAGATCATAAAAACTTCAAAAGTAGATATTGGAAAAAAAAAATCGTGATTTGAGGCACTCCCAAAAATAATTTATTATAATATAAACCGACACATTTCGGTCACGTGCGACCTTCTTCAGGGCAGTTGCACGCTTCGATGCAAAGCAAATGACCACTAAATACTTTTGATGATAATGAAATATTGATTATTGGTCAATTAGGTCATTTTTGTGATTGAAATTGGCAAAGAATAGGATTTTTGCACAGCTTTGTTGTAACTATAATACCCATAATATTTGCACACTGAATTGCCTCTGTGTTAGAAATGTGCTCAATAAATAAAGCTGCATTGCCTTGCCTAATACTCAAAATAGGTTTTAATTCACATAAATAAGCAAATGTCACACTAACGTACGTAGAACACTTGATAAGGTTACAAAGTTATTGAGAATTGATAAATCCTTTTAGGGTGACACAGAAGAAGAAGAAACGGTCTTTTATATAGCGCCTCTCAAGATAAAAATCTCTCCACAAGAACAAAAAATTTAAACAAAATTAAGAAATTGAAAACATTTTCAAATATTAAAACATCCGAAATATTAAATTGTAAAAAAAAAGTGAGGAAAGGGAACATAAAATGAATGAGAAAAAGGCCATCTGAACTGAAACCTGCTGAGAAGCCACTGTAAATTTATCTGCAGCAGTTATAACACAGTAACAACTATCTGTTAACAATCTCACACACACACACACACACACACACACACACACACACACACACACACACACACACACACACACACACACACACACACACACACACACACACACACACACACACGATAGATAGCTGATAGATAGATAGATAGATATATAGATAGATAGCTGATAGATAGATAGATAGATAGATAGATAGATAGATAGATAGATAGATAGATAGATAGATAGATAGATAGATAGATAGATAGATAGATAGATAGCTGATAGATAGATAGATAGATAGCTGATAGATGTATAGATATATAGATAGATATATAGATAGATAGATAGCTGATAGATAGATAGATAGATAGATAGATAGATAGATAGATAGATAGATAGATAGATAGATAGATAGATAGATAGATAGATAAGCAGGCTAAGTTCTGAGTAATAAAAAGTTACAAAAGCCATACCTTAAAACCCGAATTCCCTTTAAGCATCGAGCTGGGGTTTATAAACCAGACACTAACCATAATAAACACAAGTCTGTTTCAGACATGTAAACACACCAAAACCATCGCTAACTCTATTTTTGTGCACTTCGATGATCACAAACAGCCAAAGAAGCTCAGTACATAGAAACAGTCCACAGGTGGGTGTATTAGAGACGAGGAGTTGTAGTAAACAAATATATAAAAGGCTCGCACAGCCATGAGAAGTCCTGGCAGAGCCCTCTCTTTCCTGGGTGTGGAGACGAGACGGGCTGTCTGACTTCTGAAGGCTTTTTGTCTTCAGGTAAGACCAGAAACACAGAAACGGCCTCTAGTTTCCCAATCCCTCCTTCCTTGTTGCCTCACTGCTTTACTTTGTCCGAGCCCGGCCCGAAAAGGACCCCAAACCCCTGACAAACCAGTGAACGGATCCACCTTTGCACTCACCTGCATACCAGGAACTTCCATGGTTACTTCGACCTTTTTCCTCCTCCAGGTTCCTCCGTTTTCCTCCTTTTCGACTCCGGCTTTTCTTCTTCTTCTTCTTCTGTTTCGAGGTCAAACTTGACTTTAGAGGAATAGAGCGAGTGGACTTCGAAGCGAGCGGGTACTTCCGACTCCGTTTGTTTGCAAGAGAATGAAATGGACAGACGACAAAACTGTGTGACAAAGTCCGCATGAAAAAAAGCGTGGAGCAAACAAACGAGGATGACGAGCTGGTAGCCGCCTACTTCTAGGAGGAGCGAGCGGTGGAGCTGCACCCCCACAGGAGTACTACTGCTGCCCCCTGGTGGCTGTCTATCTATCTATCTATCTATCTATCTATCTATCTATCTATCTATCTATCTATCTATCTATCTATCTATCTATCTATCTATCTATCTATCTATCTATCATCTATCTATCTATCTATCTATCTATCTATCTATCTATCTATCTATCTATCTATCTATCGTCTGTCTGACTGAACATAAATACTAACATTATGCCTTTGCATAACTTTTATGAAATTTCTAACCATTCGTGATGCATTCAAATGCATCTTGCACTTTTCACACCTTTCCTACTCTTGCCCCTTTCCAGGCTGCATTTTCTTTTAGCCCTCTTCATTTCTTCGTCATTGATATTATTATTATTATTATTATTATTATTATTATTATTATTATTATTATTATTATTATTATTATTATTATTATTATTATTATTACAGTTTTTCTCAGTTGCTTTGGTGCATTTCTCACAACAGAATTAAACTTTGCACAACAGTTGGTTCAACCTCCACAACATGTAGTCATTTTGGCACAACCTAGTGGCAGTTTCATGTTCATTTCAGTCAAAGGCAAATGCCTTTGGACATGAAGCAGTTGAGTAAGTACAAATGTCTAAAGAATTCACTTTTGACTTGCTATTCATCACTATCTCCTTGCTTTTATCATGAATGTCACAATTCTTTATACTTGTACCGGCTGAATAGTCATTGCCCTTACAACTAATAGTCTTCATTTCATTGCTCGTGTCATTGCACTCAAAATTGTTGAACTTCTTGTCAAACAATTTGTACACCCATTTTGAAAACCCTATTTTAAGGAGTTTCCATGGAAATCTCCATTAATTACTTTTCTCAGGTGAACCTTTTCTCACACTAATGAAAATTGGTGTGTGTCCTGGTGACAATCGGACAATGTATGTAATGGTTTGGGATAATGTTAGCTTCCATCACTCTGCTGTAGTCAGCCAGTGGTTTGCAGCACACGACAGGATGCTTAGGGAGTTTCTTCCTCCTTACACTCCATTCCTAAATCCAACTGAGGAGTTTTTCCTCTTCGCTGAGGTGGAAGGTATATGGCAGGCATCCACATACCCAAATGGCCCTGCTAGCAGCTATGGATGCAGCTTGTGGTGACATCACAGCAGAGTCCTGCAGAGGATGGATTCGCCACACCAGGAGATACTTTCCTCGCTGCATTGCGAGGGATGACATCCGCTGTGATGTAGATGAAAATATGTGGCCAGACAGACAGGAACGTCTGGAAATGCCAGAATGATTTACTGTATCTGTATGTTACAGTACTGTGCAATACTGTATGTACTGTTACATGTACTGTATATTGTTCACATTTGTGCACAGCTCTACCAAAGGGTGATTTTTTGTTTACATGTATTATACAGTAAACAAGTGACTGTAGCATATTTTCTTTTGCACAATGCTGCAGAATTACAAACACTTCTGTACAGTAAAAATGTAAAACGTACGTATTCAGTGTCTCAGTTACTCCCAAAACTCCCATAACATCTACAGTAACTTTACTGCACATTTCAAATGGCTGTACAAGTAGGGCATAGTGCTGTCTTGAGCATTTTCAGGTGTCACCAAATACTCTTGCAATGGAAAACACTGAAATTATAAACTGTCATGGTGAAAACATGACAAAGCCATTTGACTATCTTGTTCATAAAGATGGTGTCAAGACTTTTAATTTTGATGGCACCGACAGTTTCATTGACATGAATACTTGCTTTTGAGGAATGGATTATCAATTTTGAGCATGTGACGTCCTTTTGCAGGCTATCCACTAGGTTTTGCAGTTTGCACGAATTGTTTTGAGAAATGCACTAACTGCTGTGCAAATGTTAATAGTGTTCTGAGAAACGCACCAAAGCGACTGAGAAAAACTGTAATATCTACACGCTCCCATCTGTCTGCCCACATATTTTCGTCATCATCACAGGGAATGTCAGCTCTATCGATGCATCGGGGAAAGTATCTCCTGGAGTGTCGAATCCACCCTCTGCAGGACTCTGCTGTGATGTCATCACAAGCTGCATCCATAGCTGCTAGCAGGGTCATTTGGGTATGTGGATGCCTGTCATGTACCTTCCACCTCCAGGAAGAGAAAAAGTCCTCTATTGAATTTAGGAATGGAGTGTAAGGAGGAAGAAACTCCATAAGCATCCTGTCGTGTGCTGCAAACCACTGGCTGACTACAGCAGAGTGATGGAAGCTAACATTATCCCAAACCACTACACACATTGTCTGATTGTCACCAGGACACACACACCAATATTCATTAGTGTGAGATAAGGTTCACCTGAGAAAAGTAATTTATGGAGATTTCCATGGAAACTCCTTAAAAATATGGTTTTCAAAATGGGTGTACAAATTGTTTGACAAGAAGTTTGGCATTTTACCTGCGACTTTTTCAGATCACTCACCAGTTTTGTTTAATTTGAAATTAGAAAATGCCCCTCGTATTGAATATTTCCGTCCCAGCTTCTCTTGCATAATCAGACCCAATACTGCTGCAGATTTTGCCGCTGTTCTTACTCTGGATTCAGCTCCATATGATTCTACTGATTCATCTTCTGTAGTTGAGGGATCACTTCGTGTGCTTGATTCATCCTGCCTGGCTGCTATGGATATTGTCGCTCCATTAAAATCACGTCGAAAGACATCCAAGCCCGACCCATGGCTGAACGAACAAACTCGTTCCTTGAGGCAAAATTGCAGGAGACTGGAACGTAAATGGATAAAAGACAGGCTTACTGTATCCTTTGAGGCCATGAGAGAGGCTTGGTCTCAGTACCAAAGAGTAGTCAGAGGCGCGAGAAATCGATTCTTTGCTAGCATTGTCACGGCTAATTCAAATAATCAAGGTGTGTTCTATAAAACCATAAATGCAGTGCTTTCCCCAGTTCAAAAACTATTTTCCTCTGTGTCCAATGACTTGTGTAGCCAAATCCTGCAGTTTTTCTTAAATAAGATTACTGTAATCAGATCTCAGATTCACCAAACCAACCATGTTCCTGATTCATTTACCCCCTCTCATGTGCAACTTCAAAGCTTTCAGCCCATCTCTTTGGCCTGTCTAGAAAAAACTGTTGCAGCCATGAAACCCTCTGGCTCCCCTGATGATGTTATCCCACCTCGACTCCTGAAAGAGGTGTTTCCTTTAATTAGCAATAGCGTGCTAGGCATTATAAATAGTAGCTTGACATTGGCTGAAGTTCCTCGTGCCTTTAAACACGCTGTTCTACAACCAATCCTGAAAAAACCCGGCCTTGATCCCACCGATTACTCTAATCTCCAACCAATTTCCAAATTACCATTTTTATCTAAGGTCCTTGAGAAAATAGTGTATGCACAGTTGATGAAACATCTAAATGAATTTCAGGTAATGGACACCAGTCTGGTTTCAGAAAACAGCACAGCACTGAAACTGCTCACGTTCGGGTGTTTAATGACATTTTTCTGGCTTTAGATTCAGGTTTCCATGTGGTTCTGGTACTTTTGGATCTATCCGCAACATTCGACACGATCGATCATGACATTTTGATCACAAGACTTCACACTTGGGCTGGCATTTCAGGCACAGCCCTAGATTGGTTTAGGTCATACTTTTGTAACAGGTCTGCTAGGGTCATGTTGGATGGCTGTTCATCCGAGTCACAGCCTCTACGTTGGGGTGTCCCACAAGGTTCAATTCTAGGCCCGTTACTGTTCAACCTCTATATACTGCCCTTAGGAGCCATTTTCAGAAAGCACACTGTCTCATACCATCTTTACGCTGACGACTGTCAAATCTATTTTTCATTTAAGCCAACTCAATCAACGAAAGTTCTGTCTGATTGTATCCTTGAGGTCAAGCAATGACTAGCTGATAACTTCCTAATGACTCCAAAACTGACTTAATCGTTTTCAGTCCTAACAGTACCACGGCTACTCATCAACCTGACCTCAACTATCTCTCACCTAATGTATACTCTGTAATCTCCAACCTTGGAGTAAAAATGGACCAGGCTCTGAAGATGGATGCCCAGGTCAATAACACAGTTAAATCATGTTTTTTCCAACTAAGACGCATCTCAAAACTAAAGCACATCCTGAGTGTCCATCTTCTGAAATCTGTGGTCCACACTTTCATCACCTCAAGGCTGGATTACTCTAACACCTGCTTATATGGCATCAGTAAAGCAGCTCTTTCTAGACTTCAGCTGGTCCAGAATTCAGCAGCTAGGTTGCTGACTGGAGCTGACAGAAGACAACACATTTCTCCAATTCTGAAATGTCTCCACTGGTTGCCCGTGCAGTTTAGCATAAATTTCAAAATTATGCTTTTGACTTTCAAATCCTTGAACCATCGAGCTCCTCCATATCTGTGTGAACTTGTCCATTACTACAACCCGCCGCGTGCTCTCAGGTCCGAAGATAAGCTCCTCCTAGCTGTTCCGAATGCACGTTTAAAAAGCCGTGGAGAAAGGGCTTTCTCTGTCTGTGCACCGAAGCTGTGGAACGCATTACCACTGCTAGTGAGGCAAGCACCAACAGCTAGCATTTTTAAATCACGCTTGAAAACTCACTACTTTAACCTAGCTTATATAACATAATTATGACCATCACTTACATCTGCATTGTTTAAAAATGGACTTTACAATATCAACTTCCATACTATTGAGGTTCTTTTTTAAAATGTTTTTCTAATTTTTATTCTCCCTGTGTCGTATTGATTTTTAGCTGTTAGCTGTTGGGAATTTTGTTGTATTTCCTTTTTATCTTTTATCTGTGTTCGACATGTTTGTATATCGCCTGTTTGATTAACTAACATTTTTAGTGTACAGCGCCTTGTTTGGTTGTAATGCCTTGTGAATGCGCTTTATAAATAAAATTGGATTGGATTGGATTGGAAGTTCAACAATTTTGAGTGTAATGACACAAGCAATGAAATGAAGACTATTATTTGTAAGGACAACGACTATTCAGACGGTACAAGTATAAATAATTGTGACATTCGTGACAAAAGCAAGGAGATAGTGATGAATGGCAAGTCAAAAGTGACCATTCTTTAGACATTTGTACTTACTCAACTGCTTCATGTCCAAAGGTATTTGCCTTTGGATGAAATGAACATAACACCGCCACTAGGTTGTGCCAAAACGACTACATGTTGTGGAGGTTGAACTAACTGTTGTGCAAAGTTTAATTCTATTGTGAGAAATGCACTGAGAAAAACTGTAAGTGAGAGTAGGAACATTGACCAACCACAAAATTGAGAGCTTTGCGCTTTTAGTTCTTCTTCTTCACCACAATGGATCAGAGCAATGTCCTCATTAACATGTGTAGTTTTACTTTTTCAGAAACAGGAATATGTAATTTAAAATGACGTTTTTCTACTTTTTCACTGGCCTTCTTAAACTGAACCGTTGTTTCCCACGATTAATGAACGCACCTTCAGGTTTCGGTATGACGTAGGCGGAAAAACTTTTGAAAGAAGGCGGTGCCCCGGCCGAAGATGGCGTCGGTTCGCTGTAGGCGAGATCCGTGCGGTGTAATCTGCCTGATTTTAACTTATTTCAGCGTGTTTTACGCGGACTATGTGGTCATACAGTATGTTCTCATCCCCGCCTACCGAGACAGGTTGGTAGTTTGAATCCTAATGGCGTTAAAGCGTTAAAAACAGCCTTAATGGCGTCTTGTTTCTGAGCGCTGCCTCCATTGGTTTGGTAGCAAACCGGTCTGACAGCGTCCCCAAAACATTAGTGTTTCAGTGGGTTCATGGTGAATATCTGAGCTGGTTTTATATGTGTGTTTATTCTGAAAACGTTCCGTTTAAACAGTGTAGCGCTATGGTCTTTGTTTTCCTGAAATTGATAACACGAGCTGTTTGTTTACAGGTTAGGTTTACTTAATTATTTATCAGTTGGTCGCTGTTTCTGTCTGAATCTCGGTTCTGATGCTAATTGAAGCTCATTTTTAAAGCTAGCATCCAAAAAACATCCCAGCTAACGTTTAAAATAACAGTAATAGATCATATCAAACAAATCTTGTGTGTTTTGAACACATAGCTAATGTTTGTGGCAAAGCTAATCAATAATACCGAGGAATTGAAACCGTCTGAAGGCTAATAAAGAAAAATCACATAAATACAATTCTTGTTTAATTTCAGGGTTTGTTTTGTCCTGTGTGACAGGGTGTGTATTGGCGATATATATTGCAATACAGAATAGATGATACGATATATCGTGATACTAAAGGCCAAACCCTATGTTTAATTAATTGAAATATTTAATTGGAAAATTCAGAATTAAGGCCGTAAAAACTGCTGCCACCTAGCAGTTGGAGTTTGAACTGCATAATACAAAGACAATACAGTAAATATTTGAATGTAAAGTCTCAATAAAAAAAGTCAAAACGCCGCTTTTAAATATCGATTCAGTATGACAACACTAAACATCGTGATGTTTCAGTCTGTCGATATTTTCTTACATGATCTAATCTGCAGAATTAACAGGTAGTAGTTTAATCATGAAAGTAGATTTATTGGGGTTCCTGCTGTACTCTAGTATTTACAAATGATAATAAGAAAGCTTGTTTCAGGTGTTCACACTGGGGTTTAAATGATCTGAAACTGATTAAAATGTGAAGTCATGTTTCACTTTCACACATTGTGTCATGTTCATAACTTCTTTTTGGCAAAGGTGGCAGAAATAGTTCCTCCTTTCTTCCTCTGGAGTGTTTTTATTAAAAAATATTGCAACCTAACCATCTGCATGCTATGGATAACATGCGTGATGACTTATTAGCGTTTAAAACAACTTTCAAGCCTATATTTGATTTATAAATTAAGTAGAAGAAGCTCAGATGTTTTCTTTTTTGTATTTTTAGATAGTAAATGATATTTCCCCCCTACCGATCTCTCTGACAGCGTGTGGTGTGTGTTGCACGGTTCGTTGTTCAACCTGGTCCTGCTGCTGCTGCTGGCCTGCCACTCCAAGGCTGTCTTCTCAGACCCTGGTGGGTGAACGTCTTAAAGCAGTAAAAGAAAGAGAAAACGAGGAGTTTTCATGTTTCACATGAATAGGTTTGTGTTTTCAGGTATGGTGCCTCTGCCGGAAACGGCTATAGATTTCTCAGATCTGCGCTCGCAGTCGTCTCGGATGAACGAGCGGGTCTGTTCACTTTCCCTTCCTCTTGTGTTAAATTTAAGTTCGTCTTTCCATGTCAGTTTCACATCATCTCCCTACATCTCAGCAGAGAACGAAACATCTAGATTAGCTACAATGCAATAAGATGACTCCAGTCTTCCGAATGAGTGTTACTGAAGTCAGATGGTCAGTGAATGCATCACGACCAACCCTTTGTGTAAAAGTGAGGACGTATAAATCTGTTGTTCAGTCTCATCAGTTTGCAGCTAGAAGTGGGACACGAGGAGCTGGACCAGCTCCTGCTCTAGGGTTAGAGCTGATTACACGTCTGCTGATGTCCATGACACATAATCACATGTGACCAATCACAAGCTAACCCTGAATAACAACACCAGCGGCTAGCTGCTCATGTTAAACTGTATTATAGCAGGTGTGTTTAAGCCAGAGCTGCTCGTGTCCGCTCTGATGGATGTTATTAAGTGGTTATGAGCTCAGCAACAGACGACTGATTCCTGGGTTTAGATTCGAGGGTAAAATTCTTCGTTTTCTCTCGTCTGATCGTTTTGACCTCTGATTGGTCTTCACCACCTGACTCCAGGGCTGTGAGGGCTGGACGGTGTGCAGCCGCTGTGAGACCTACAGACCTCCCAGAGCGCACCACTGCAGGGTCTGTCAGAGGTGCATACGCCGCATGGACCACCACTGTCCTTGGTGAGAGGGTCCACAACATGTCCATCTCTGCTTGTCCTTCCTTCCTTCCAACATCCATCCAACCATTAATCCATTCATTACCGACCCATCTAACACAGCTCCATCCATCTATCTAACCCCAAAATTCCCCCCCCCCCCCCCCCCCCCCCCACACACACACACACACAAACGCAAATAAATGTATATTCGGCTGAGTCCAGATGAGCCAAGTAAGGTAAAGCAAGGAAACACCATCAGATGAGCCATCTGCTCCGGCATCATCAGGTCTTCCACAGTAACTAAGTCAGGGCGCTCAGAGGAGGGAGAGCATAGACCCCCACCTCCACTCAGACACTACCTGTAGCAACAGTCGACCACCGCCCTTGGGGCAGAGGGCTACCCCCGTGAAAACACTGGGTTAAAATGTGTAAAAATAACATCTAACATCCCTCCATCCATTTATATATCCATCCATCCACCCATTTAACACCCACCCACCCATCCATCCATCCATTTATATATCCATCCATCCATCCCTCCATCCATTTATATATCCATCCATCCACCCATTTAACACCCACCCAACCATCCATCCATCCATCATTTAATAAATCTTTTCTAATCCGTTTCTTTTCTTTGTCTCTTTTAGGATCAATAATTGTGTCGGGGAGCTAAATCAGAAATATTTTATCCAGTTTCTCTTCTACACCGGTGAGTAAACTCAGAAACCCTAACCCTACTCTAGGTTTATAATGAGAAAATCAGTTACAGGGACAAGTAATGATCTGAAGATATTATCAGGTTTAGTTAAGACTTATGTAACCATAGCAACAGGAAGTTTCAGCTGTGATTAATCTAAACCCCACAGCTCTGTTGGTGGTGATATAAACACCGCCGCTGCCACTTGAACACTTCCTGTTTGTTTCTGTGCCCTCAGGCGTGGCCAGCCTCTACTCCCTGGTGCTGGTGGTGTGGGCGTGGGCGTGGAGGATACGAAACGAGAGAGGAGGAGAAGCAGAGAAAGAAGGAGAGGAGACGCCCAGCAAACATCTGATTGTGTGAGTTCAGAGGGAACACAGAGGGTTTCTATCACCTGAGTGTGGCGTTCATGCTTCTGTCTCCACTCTGACGTAGGGCTCATTACATCATCCTGCTGGTGGAGTCGGTGCTGTTTGGAGTGTTTGTCATGGTCATCTTCTACGATCAGGTAGGGGCCTCCTAACCCTTCAGGCTCTTGAGTTTCCTCAGAACAACACTCAGTCTGTCGTCCGACCCCCTCAGCTGGTCTCCATCATCACAGATGAGACTCCGATCAAGCAGATGAAGAACAGGCTGATGATCAAGGAGAGAAACTCCTCCTCCTCCTCTTCATCGTCCTCGTTGCAGCAGCCTCAACACCTCTCACACACCAGAAAGCCCAAGCTGGCTCTGCTGCGGGAGGTTTTTGGAAGAGGTGGGTTCCTGTTTTCCATCCGGACGTTTCAGCTCTGACACGTTTCCTGATTGGTTGTTTTTTTTCTTCGCTGGTTCAGGTTCGATATTCTGCTGGCTCCTCCCCCTCCACTCCAGCCCCCCGTCGATCGGAGGCATCACCTACACTGCTCTGCCCGACTATGACGTCTGATCTCCCACCTGTGAGCTTTAGAGAGATTGTGTGTGTTTGTGAGAACGACTTTTCTGCCTAAAGCGGTGTGTGACCGCTGAAACGAGAGGCTCCTTCGTTTGATGAATGAGTGAACGAGTGATGCACTGATTCTACTCTCCAGGGCTTAGAAACGGACTTTCCTGTGAGGAGGGAAAACCACTGGCCTGTTGTGTTTCGTTACCAGCAACCCTCGGTTATTTTACTGTTGATGTCAAAATGTGTCTTTTTTCGGCTTTTCAAAGGATATTTTCCATTAATGCAGTTAAAAAATAATACAAAGTCTTCTAGATCTAAGATCCTGCTAACCAAAACAGACCTTTTTGAAGTGAAAGAGTTAATCTTGCAGCTATTCATTTTATTTTTGTAGATTAAGTTCATAATCTCACCTCAGTAAACCATAATCTAGCTCTAGTTTTTTATCACTGGTTCATTTTTTGCTAAATTTGTTCTAAAACACTAAAACTGTCATCATTCTATGCAAAAATGTGATTCTACTTCCAGCTACAACACCATAGCGCCCTCTGCTGTTGTGTTTTAGTTCTTTGTCCTTTTTCAGGCTCAGTTAGTGGCTTTTTTTCTCTAAACAGGATCTAAACCAGCACACATTAAACCTGTGATCACATAAAAATGACAGTAGTGACATCACACATTGTTTTAACTTTTTCTATGGCACCCCCTGCTGTCTGTCCTGTTTATAATGGACAATAGTTTAAATAAAAAACCTCCATATTTCATGAATTCAATGTAAAACAAATAGCTCAATAACCAAAAATAAATGCTTATGAACCAAGATCTCAAATTGATCATAATCTACAAACTCTAAATAGATAACGTTAATGCTTAAAGGTTTGTTCTGCAACAGTTTAACAAAACAACCACGTTTTTTCAAAATAAGAGTCCTGTGTTTGTGGTGAAGGGTCAGTTAAGTGGATTTTTTTAATAACTTAAATAAATCTATTGTCCATGACAGCAGTTTACAAAATCTGAGGGATAAAGTCAACAAACAATGACTAAAGGGAGAAATAACCGAGTGAAAAAATGTTCTATTAAAGAGCAAGTCACCCCCAAATAAACATTTTTTTGCCGATAAACTAAATAAATGAGTGTCTAATCGTGCTGCAGACAAGTGTAGTCAATAAGTTGGCACTTCAGTGCAACTTAGTTAAAATTTAAATATTCTGCCTAAAACTGGCAGTGTTGTGCCGTTGTCAGGTAAAAACTCTGCACTGTATTTTAAATTAAATCAGCCACCGCTATTGGCTAAGAGGTATGCTATGATGTAAACTGGTACATTATGATGTCACAATGATGTTGTGAGCCTGTGTGTGTGTGTATTTGTTAGCAGCTCCTCCTTCTCGGTCTGCCAGGCAACAGCATTTGTTGCATTTTTCAAACATGAAGTGGGAGTGGAGTTAGACTCTGGTAGGGGTTGACTTGCTCTTTAAATTTCTTTAAAAAAAAAAAATTGCCCCATAGAATTTCGGACAATTCACGATTTCTGTTCAGCGAAACATTATTAGAAGTTTAATCACTGCTGAAGCTCCAAAACAAACATTTCCTTTAAAAAAGTTTTTACAGAATTTATTTCATTCAACTAAATAAAAACATTTAACAAAAACTGTAAAAACACAGTCCACACACACACACACACACACTATCTGCCCCCCTTTTAGAAATAGGCAAACAATAAAACAAAAACACCAATAAATAAATAAATTTTAACCCCTAGTAAAAAAAACAAGCCGACCTAAGTGTCAGAAACATCAGTTGGTTCTCTTAAACGACCAGTTTAAGTGAACTCAAAGCTTTAATAAAACACCTGTGGTGCACTGAGAGTTTACTGTCCCAACTGTAAAACAGGAAGTGGAATATTTTTGTCCCATTTCTATATTTCCTTTAGTTCCACATCCTCCTAACTAAAGTGTGTTACGCTACTGCTAAACACACAGCTGCAGTTAAAAATGAACCAGGAGGACTGAAAGCATGGAGGACAAACGTTGTTTACGACCTTTTAAACTTTATTTTTACTCTTTTGGATGGAAGTAATGCTTTATGACATTTGTTCTCTCACATTGTCGTTGTTCTGTTACTGTTTCAGTGAAGGGATGAGCCTTAGCTTATTTATTGTTTGTAATTATTTAGTTACATTAACTAATGAACCGACGTGTATGTGAGGGGTGACGCTGCCTTTGTAAACCAGCCTGGCTTTGTTTAGCATCTTAAAGTTCTTTACACAAAGCCAGGGGCGCTAATTTAGTAGCTAAGATGAAGGCGGGCTGTAAAATGGCCACAATAAAGCAACCAGAAAGTTTGTACTTTAATTGTTTACTGAAGAAAGGTTTATAGCATAGCATAGCATAGTTTATTTATATAGCATGTTTAAAATGCAGCATGGGAGCTGCCCAAAGTGCTGCACAGGCTAAAACAAAACACAACCATTACAAGGAGCTAAAACAAAGGATAAAAATCTCAATCAAAGGCAGATAAAACATGATGAATACTAAGAACACATTAAAACAATAATACAATAAAACTAAAACGAGTCACTGTCTAAAAGCCAAAGTGTAAAAGTGGGTCTTTAAACGAGATTTAAAAACCGCCAGAGACGGAGCCTGCTGCCACAGGATATGACCACAGCTGCCAGGATTTTTCATCACTGCAATGTCTTATCGAACAAAACATCATGCAAACTTCTCTGCTTCTGTTTTTAGGAACTGTTTTTAAAAAACCAATCAAACAAGAGTTGCGTAACGAGAAACTGACGACAGTCTTGTCTATAGTTGGGCAAGCTTGTGGTGTTAGACGTGTGTCTAAGCCATCATTTGTTTTGTTTTATTTTATTAGGTGGCGGCTGTGTCCAAATTCAGGGACAACGTCCTTGTAAGGACCTGTCCTAGCCGGTCATGTAGGTCGGGTCCTTCCTCCACCGCTAACAGTCAGTGGCTTTTAATTTGGACAGTGTAGCTTTGATATTCTTTTATAGTCCCACCCATACCGCAGCGTTTCTCCTCTTCTAGCAAACAGCAGAAGTTAAGACTTAACCTGATTACAAATACTGGACCTGTCGTATAGGCTGGAGGATTTATTTTTATTATTTTAGACCAAATAATGTTAAAAATATATCCAAACAAAATAGCCTAAAACACAACCGCTTTAAATTTTTTCTCCCTCCAGGTATTAGACTTTCATTTATAACTGTAATACTATAAGAACAAAACTCTTCATTTCAGATGGCAGTAAACCCTGGTGTAGCCTTTGCCAGAAAGGAGACACCAGACCAGTAAACGAGGAAGTATTAGAGCACCCATTTTAAGTATCCTCAGAATTAGGACGGTCTTGTTGGTTTGCTGTGACGTGGTTGGCCTTAAATTGCAAACGCAGAAGGATACAGCCCCCGGAATTAGAAACGTCAAATATCCTAAATGGTTCAGCATTTTAATGATGAAGATGTTAGTCAAATCCTGCTGGTGCTAACAGGATGGTGGTAAAAAAGAAAAAATATGAATGAATGAATATCTTGTTTGTTTTAAAGGGACAGTGTGCATTAATAAACATTTTCCAATGTAAATGTACTGATTTATAGCCAAAAGGCTAATTTTCATTGGTAGCCCCCGCTGCCTCAAGACGTTAGATGAAAGAATATAAAAAAAAAAGCAACAAAATAAGTAAAATATTACACAGATGCATTGTAACTTGCCTTGTTAGTCTATGGTATCTTCAGCATTCCAGTTAGCATTCCTCGGCTAAGCATTTCAAGTTAACATTCCCAAGTAGCTAAAAACACAACCTTTGTAAATTTTTAATGACATATCTAGTCTTTAACAAAGCATTTTCTGTTATAGTTGATAGTTAATTTAGAAACATTTAATTAGCTTTATCAAGTTGCAAGCTAGTAGCTAGCACGTCTAAGCTAATCATGACTTGCTAGTGTTCATAAAAACTTCCTTTCATATTTAGGGTCCACAACAAGCTTTACAGGCAAGGATTTGCTTCTTCTTTTGAATGTTGAATGAAAAACAGTTGTAGATTGCTAAAAGACAATGAAAGAAATCTGCAAACTTCCGTCATTGGAGACTTTGATGTTGTTTAAAACTTTAAAACACTTTAGCATCAGGCACACATATAAGTTATTACACTAATGTTACGGTTTAGAAGTAGTGTATCACTGTTTATGCCCTTTGTTGTCTGGGTCTTCCTTCATTGTTACTTTATTTTCATGTGTTGGACAAAACTCAGCGTTCTAAATGGTTTCAGTGTTTAAATGTAAACAGGGATTACACAAAGGCAGCCTCACTCCTAGTGTGTGTCTCAATATTTATTTTATGATTGTGCTTTATTGAATTATGTGGATTATTGAACTTGTATGAAGTGATCAGTGAAAAAGTCCATTATTTTCTTAAATCATGCTTTTCAGGGTCACACAAACATTTGTCAAGTATTTGTATTTATTCAGCTTCAGTCTCATAAAAATGGATAAAGTTTGGGAAGAAGTTATGTGAAACACTTAGCTGTTGGAAGGTTTTTGAGTTTGTGTTACAACAAACAAATCAACTAGTGTTTGTTTTTGAATGAAAGCAGATTTTGGTGTGAGTGCTCGTATATGAAGGAAATAAAAGCTGCCTTATTAAAGATTTAAAGTGACTACAGATGAATGAAGTGCCCAGAGCTTCTCTCCACAGTAGTCCTGACCCAGGGTTGGTTCTGGTTTTCATTATGAAGGGAACGCCACGACATCTCAGAGGTGTTGATTATCATCTATCTTCTGAGTGAAAGGGGTTGAGGTTTGAAATGTTTTAAACTGAAACCATAAACACAAGGTTTAGTTTGACCGTGGATTTTACGTGAACTGGAACAAGTGTTAGTCCAGATTTTCTCTGGATAACCAGCAGATAACGTTCCTTTAATAGTTGAACTGCATCTCATGGTTTAGGACATTTCAAACCAAGTCTTTAACTTTTAAACTAGGTGTGCATGGGTTGTAGGTGTTACAGTGTGTGCATGTGAGATTATCAGGGTGCTGGTTTCTCTGGTTGACTCAGTTGAATACATTGGATCTGTTGTTTAGGGTGCGCTTGTTTTGGTTCATCCTACTGCTGCAGGCTCCTCCTGACCACTAATTCCTTAACTCCTAACTGAGGTGATAACAGAGGTGAGCCAGGACAAGTGTGCTCCATTAGCTGTGTTAATAGACAGCAAGAAGGACTGTGTAAAAACATTTTCTTTTTTTCTGAAGGCCTGAAGCTAACTGTTAGCCATCAGCCACATTTAAAAGTAGGGAGCCTAAGTCTCCTCGCTTTCTGATTGGTTCGTGGGTCCCCGGAAGAACGAAAATGCAAGTCAATGACGCTAAAAGAGCAATTTTATAATCCGCTTAGCCTTACGATATGAATCGCACATATGTTGTACTACAGATTAAATGAAAACTAATGATGTGTGTTTCGACCACGCCAGTCGCATACTTTGAGATTTATCAGCTTGTAAAAGTTCGTAATTAGCATGACTACAAATCAAATCAGACATCACCACATAATCTCCTCTCCCCTGGCGTAGCTGCTACTCACCACATGGTCAAATATATGGTGGTTCTTTTCTCCATGTGTGGTTCGGTGACGTCACTTTGGTGAAGCGCATTTGTAGTCCTGGACTTATTTTCACACAAAACCTAAAATAACGTTTTCCCCTGTTGGAAAATAAGCACTTTCTTGGTATCAAAATGCATCTTTAAAATTCACGGACATCATATGTGGAATCCATGGCCCACAAACGAGCCTGATTAGAAAATAGCGTTTTAGCCCCATTGACTTGCATTCATTTTTTTGTTCTTCTAGGGACCCATGGTCCAGAAGTAGATGAACGTGACTTAGGCTCTCTTTTGATTACCTTTTCATGTTTAGTCTCCTTGTGAATCATGGTCATAATTTAATGGAAAATGTTCAACAAAAAAACATTTTTAAAAAGCATTGTACCTGGGAAAAGCCAGGTCGTGTACTATCGGTTTGTAAACCACTGCTGTGACATTTTAGTTAATATTTTTGATGTTTTGTTGTTGGCTGGTTGGCTCAGACATTTACTTTCACAGCCTGCAGATAAAACCCAACAGTTAGTTTGGTATCATGTGGTTTCACGATGAACATGTTTACAGATTAATGATGTATTTATTTATTACATGACCTGTGTTCTTCTTGATATGCTGCTCTGACTCGTTAAAAGTAAACCGATGTCTTTTAAACCACCCTGACTCTGTTTTCTCTTGGCTTGTTGGTGCCTAAAGCTTTGAGGCAGCAGTGATAACTCCTGACCCACTGGTTGGGTTTTAAAGAACCTCTCAAAGTAATCATTAATATTTGGAGGAAACCTCATTCAAGATGGCCGCCAGAGACAACTAACCTTAGCCAACACAAAAAAAAAAATGGCTAAAACTTCAATTTTCTAGACACTGAGATCAAATGCTTGCAATTTTCTCAACTTTCAAAATTTGACCAAAACCAAAGTAATCAAATGGAACAACGGGGAAGGCTGTTGATTTAGCATTCAGGATGCAGCAGAGAACGTCTCAGCAGAAGCTAGCTGTTAGCATTAGCAACTTCACCACACAGCAGAACTCCTTCAGATCCAAGTTATTTGTGGAGATAAAACATCAATGTTGCAAAGAAAATGGAGCTGTGTTGCTGTTAGCCAATCAGAGGTGAGATATCTGAAAATCAGGAAGTAAGAGTCCAAATCTGCTCCCCACTACTCTACTTCCTATGACAGGAGCAAAAGAGCTTCTTTCTCACAGAGACTGACTCACCAGGCATTCATGCCTACTAGTGAACATGTGACACAATCCAGGTAGAATGAATGGTGCCACTAATATTAAAAGGAGATTAAAATAGGTTTTAAAAACAAGGCAAGCAGTGCAACCACAAAAGCTAATTTAAAAAAGGGAATTTATTCCAAAAGTTCACAGATGATGATGCCCAAAATGAACTCCTAAATAAAGTCTGGCTCTGGGCCTCAGGGGACAAAGCAGTCCAGTCCGGCCCTGCGTTAGCTCGATAGGGAAGCCCTTTACGACCCCGCCCTCCTGAGGTATGCGTCATCCTCGGGGAACCACAGGCTGAACGGCCGGTGGATCCAATCCTCCTCCTCTGCCCCTGTGGCACACAAAAACTCCAGCAGTAAAAGGTCCCCAGCACCAGACCACGCACTGAGAGACAGCAAACTCCAAAACACTGCCAGGCACTGATCAATTACTTGCGCGCAGGGGCAGAGTAACCCCCAAATTCCACTACCTCCGCTCCGCTCTGGTCCGCCCCCGCTTTCCGCAGCCGCTCGCTTCCGAACTCAATTTTTACTGGTACCCGCTCTACAACGGCTCCGCTCCGGTGCGGAGACCTGAGGTGGGCAAACAAGCATGCGCGGGATTTTCGAGATCTTGCGATACAGTCCGAGCAATAAACGCGGAAGTTAGATCCAAACACCCGTTGTGTGGGAGAAGCATCGAAATGAACTGTTTAATCTGCCCATCATTTGTGTTGAGAGATCAGCAGTGTTTGGATCAACAAAATGTTACTACTTTGATAGTGGAAACTGTATTTATGGCTTACTTTTGTGCATTTAAACTTCAGCCGCCATTGATAGTTGTTAAAAGTTGTTAAACCTGTGCATATGAAACAAAAAACGCCTTTTGTTTATTGATTTATTGTGAAAAACGGAAGTTGTGCTTGCTCCTTTTCCTGTTGGGCGGTTGTGATTCCTGTCCATTGACTGCGGAGGTGCTCCGGCGTCCGGCAAAAATAGGATCGATTCTATTTTTGCCGGACGCCGGAACAGAGGGCAGCGCACTGCGCCGCACTGCCGGAGCACGGCCTCAGTAGTGGAATTGCTCTGATTGACTACAACGGGGACCGATTTTGCTCCGGAGTTCGTGCCGGAGTGGAGCGGAGGTAGTTGAATATGGGGGTAACTCTGCCCGCCTGCCGTGTTGCGTTCCGTGTCCTGGCTTCACCGGCCGCAAATCTTGCTGTCCGCTGCTGCTGCTGTCCGTGCCGCTGGCGAACCCCCTCCTCTGTCCAAGACTCCGACCGGACTCAGTGGCACCTGTACGCGCGCCACACATGTGTGGAGGGAGGGACACCCACGCTCCACCGCACTTGACCGCCATCCATCATCCAGGACCGTACTCCAGGTGCTCCTCTGTTCCGGCGGGGGGTGGGGGTGGGTGTGTGTGTGTGTGTGGGTGTGGGTGTGGGTGTGGGTGTGTGTGTGTGTGTGGGTGTGGGTGTGGGTGTGGGTGTGTGTGTGTGGGTGTGTGGGTGTGGGTGTGTGGGTGTGTGTGTGTGTGTGTGTGTGGGTGTGGGTGTGTGTGTGGGTGTGGGTGTGGGTGTGTGTGTGTGTGTGTGTGTGTGTGTGTGTGTGGGTGTGGGTGTGTGTGTGGGTGTGTGTGTGGGTGTGGGTGTGGGTGTGGGTGTGTGGTCAGGCACATGTGTCCTCAAGACACCATGCAGGGTGCGCCTCTGCCTCTAGCTGGCTCTGTCTGTCATCCTGGCTCCCTGTCGTGTCCCCCTGGTCTTCTTCTTCTGGTGTTTCATTGGCGGTTGGCAAACAACGAATGGTGCATTACCGCCACCAAAAAGTGTGGAGTGTGGTCTGGAACAGCGCTCATAAAACAAAATCAAACATGGGGGAAATATAAATATATATATATATATTAGGGCCTGCACGACTTTATTTTTTTTAAAGTCGACAGTCAAGTAATGAAAGTCGAGTCGACTTCGACTAGTCGTTGATGACGTCATCCGCCGGAAGCGGTGGGGGGGGGTGTTAGGGGGTCGGTCGGTAGGTTCGCTGGAGTTTTTGACAATTAAAATTGAGCCCACATTTTCTAAGTTAACACATCTCTTTTAACAACGATAGTTTCTGCATCTTACTTCAGCCCTCTCCCCCCTCCCCCTGCACAGCAGCCGCAAACTCACTGATGCGCCTGCAGCCTTTCCTGCTGCTCTAAACATTAAAATAATTATTTCATTTTCTGTTCCTCACTTCTGATTACCTTCAATGGTGTCTGTTTGTTGCAACCAGCAGGTACAAAAACTAACTTGTTTTTATTTGACTATTTTTCTGTCCTGCCTGTTTATTATCTTCCTGCATCTCCTCTCAGTCCTAAAGAAAAACTGCTACCTGGGTTCATATATATTCACATTATGAGTTACCTTTGAACTGCAGTTCTAAAAGATCTACCGACCGCTAAAACAGCGGAGTGCCGCTGCTCGCCGGCCGACTACAACGGGACCGTTTTTGCTGCGGAGTTTATGCCGGAGCGGAGCGGAGTGGAGATAGTGGAATCTTGGGGGTGCGTCACCGGAGGACAACAGGTGATGCGCCTCGCTCCGCAGCAGCGAAATGCATCAGGCACAAATAACAGACAGAAAACATGAAAGGAAATGAGCCGACATGAACGATCGCGTGTTTAATTTGTTTTTGAGGTGGTGACACCTGATTTGGCGGTGCTCAGGACGCAATGTCTGGAGCGCACGTCAATGATCAGAGCTTTGCATGCACAAACTGGTTAAGATTAGGATGGGGGTGAGGGGAAGGTTAAACTGCAAGAGGGAAAAGGTCACAGTTTGGTTAAATGTCCGTTTTACCGCCGGTGTCAGTACCGCACAGCGCGTCGCCTCCGCCTCGACCCAGACACACAGGGGCTCATCACCTGCTGTCTTTTCCGAGGACTGCATCTTGTCAGTCATTATCACGTGACAACGACTAGTTGATGACAGGCATAAAAAGTCACTACAGAGCCGTGAAGTCGACTAGTCGACTAGTTCGTACAACCCCTAATATATATATATATATTATATATTAGTGGTGGGCATATATTAATTTTATTAATCTAGATTAATCTCACTGTAATCTTGGAATTAATCTAGATTAAAATGGCTCATTCAAATTCTGCCAAAGGCATATGTGTGTGCTACCTAGATAATGAATAAAAGCAAGTCTTTGAGAATGGAGGCATATTTCTTGTTTCAATAATGCATCACTGACTGATTAAGCAGTTTTACTACGATAACTGATGATGAAAATAAATAATGATCAATAAGTATTTGTGTTTAATAGCTGTTTATTCAGTTCAACAAATTCTGCACTGTAGGTCTACAGAATAGGTCATGATTAACTTTTTACAGTCAGTAGCATTTGGTCAATCAGTCCAAGCTCTATTTCTCCTTCTTCCACCAGTCACTCAAGCAGACCAGCTTGTTCACATTGTCTGGTGACAAACTAGATCTTCTCTTCTGCACAATATGGCCTGCTAAAGAAAAAAGTATATAGTATATACACACACACACACACACACACACACACACACACACACACACACACACACACACACACAAACTATCTGGCCTGGGGAGGGGGTTAAATTTCTGGGGTGCCCTTCCAATGCCCCCCTTTAGTTTGCATGTAGGATCGCCTCTGGTGAATAGGAGCGAGAGCTGGAAATGATGCCACAGCTCACCTGTATGAGCAGAAGCCAACTGTTGCTGTTGTTGTCTCTGAAAACGACAAGGGGAGTTATCCTAGCTCAACTTTTCTACACAAATATAAAAATTTATGAGTAAAACGTTTATTATTACAGGTGAATTTGAGTCGAAGCCACATGAACAATGACCTGTAGAAACAATTTATCACTTTATCACAATAAACAGCTGCTAAAAGAGCTAAACTTAGTTGGAAACCGCACCTGTCTGAGAAAGTCTTGTCTCGGTTTTCTCACATCCGAGCGCTGCTTCGGCCGCGGACGGTGAAGTACAGCCCGGGGAAAGCCCGGCTGGAAATGTCGGAGGTAAACAAAACGAATGAAAGTCGGATTTATGGATTAAACTTTGGTGAAAGTACATAAATTATTTACTTGTTGTCCCGCGCGATGAGAAGGGAGAAGCGCTGCTGGTGGCGAAGGTGCGACTGTTCGGCTGCATGGGGAACATTAACCTCCGCGAGCCTGGCGTCCGTCCATACGTACGATGATCCGCGCCGAGTTTACATCCGCGCCAACCAGGTATCCATCCGCGCAATGTGAAAGTCATCATAGTTTACTTGGTATAGACCCAGATCCCAAACCAACTTTGAGAATAGATTAACGGTGTCATTTTTTTTATCGCGCGATAAGAGTCTGGCTTTGCTGCAGCACGTTAACGCTGATAACGGCCCACCCCTAATATATATATATATATATATATATAGATAGAT